TGAGCGGTTCTGTGACTCTCCTTTGCAATTCCTGTGGAGCCGAGCGGTTTCACAAGCTCCTTGGGAAACTGGCATTACTGAAAGTACTAAATGTTGGCAATTTTTGTGCATGTTAAAGCACAGCCTCTCGGTCAAGGTGCATACTTCTTTGACTCTTGGCAAGGCGAATCCTTGACGTTGATGGACACAGCATAAATGTGGTTTTGAGCAGGACTCCTAAATAAGGAGCCGAGCGACTTGGGATGGAGTTTAGAACTGATGCTGTTTCAGGCTTTTGCGCTGTGCCAGCTTAGCACCTATTAGGAAATCTGCTGCATGAAAATGCACAAGCTGTAAGGGCCCTGGTGCGGGACATCAAAGGAAGCAGCAGCTGTCATCCTGCTTTAGCCAGGCTGCTTTTGAATGCCTTAATCCCGTTCCCAAGCAGCAAAGGACAGAATGCGCTTTCTTTGCCCTCCCCCCTATTTTTTGATGTGTTTTCCTAGCAAAATGAAAATCCGTTGTCAGCAGGCACTGCAGCACAGCACAAGAAATTGTATTTTCATTACGTCTGATTTAGGCATTTCAGTCCTTCTCATGCATGATAAGCTTTTTTGATTTTTTAAAATAATACTAGAAATTGTTTATGTTGTGTTTCCTCCTAAGTATTTAAGAATATTTTGATTTTAGAAGGGAGAAGAGCAAAATAATATTAAAGGGTCCTACTTTATTTTGTAATTATTAATTTTTATTTTGAACTTTGAAATAAGAAAACAATAGGAATGTGACATGACCCTGTTGCATGGTCTGTGGTGCACTAGCAAGGTACTACTGTAGTTTGAGATTCACTTTTTGCCTTTATTTTTTGCTGTTTATCATCTTCTCGATTGCCAGGTTTGTTACACAAGCACCAGAAAAGAGTGTTCCAAGACTAACCTATTTGTCCGTTTAAATGGTATTAACAAGTGTTTCTTTTTTACGTTTACAGGTCATTGAATCACTGGGGATTATTATATATAAAGCCCTGGACTATGGTTTGAAGGACAATGAAGAGCGGGAATTAAGCCCTCCCCTGGAGCATCTTATTGATCACATGACTAACACCACGGAAACGGATGGGAGTAAAGATGAGGGATATGATGCTCTGGATGAAGGAGTGGAGGATGACGATGACGATGATGAAAAAGAGGAAGTTCAGGCCATTCGTTCCTATAAAGATGTCATGAAGGTACAGTAATGGGCATCTTGATATCTTACTTCAGTGTTCTTATCAGTAAGCAAATCAGCTGCTTTCTTTTTCTTTTCCAACGTGATACCGTGTGGATGATAAGTCATCTTCCTTCTGCGTGGTTCATTTGCAACAATGACATGCTCTAGTGTTTCACCTCTGACAGTAAACTACAGAAAGTACAGGGTCAATTTCATTGCAGCATATAGCACGGATACTACATTTTGCTTTCATCTGTACACTGAGCTTCCAGTGTATCATCTATTGCATTCCTCTGTGCACACCTGGATAGTTTACAGGCAGTTCAAGTAATTCACCTTTTCATTAGTGCAGTATTGCTTTAATTATTCCTTATCAGTGTGTTCCTTTGCCTTCTTCCTCTACTGAAGCAAAGGCCTTCTTAAAAGAGTATCTTAATTGTATGGAGTGAGTCAGAATAGAGTATTTCATTAATGATTATTATGATTGCAGTTCTTGACCTGAGTTGTGAGATTTGGAAATAGTGCTTATGAATTTTAATTGCAACAGGTTCTCTAATATTGCCTGGGCTACTGTGGACAATCATTTGTAAGTATTTAATCCTCTACTTTCTATAGAGTATTTTTCAATAACAATTCTCATGCCCAGAGAGTTTCCTGTAGTAGAAGCACATTCACAACATGGATTTTTACAGAATTTGGATAATGGGTGTGCTCCATAAATAATCTGAGTTTAATACAGGCCGGAAAGGTGTGCGTTAACTTTTGCCTGTGGATTGAACACTGCGTACTACGAGACCCAGCTAAAATCTGCCACTTCTGTTGGGTTGACACTACAGAGGAAAGCTCTTAGGAGATTCCCTCACTGGGAGTGAGGTTTGAGATGCCGTTGCATATGTATACGTAGCTAATTTGGGGAAGTGGCAGTGAGGGCCACTGCTCATAAACCTGGTTAAAATCCATGGTGTACGTTCCCATGCGCCTTTCTCCTGGTGGACTCACATTCCCTCCCTTCAGCTTTTTCCCATGACAGGGCGCTCTCTGCTTCCTCGTACCTCCGCTTGCCACCCAGTGCACTGGCCCATCGACGTGTGTATATATCTGTGTGTGTGTGTGTGTGCTGCCTCCTTCTCCTGCCCCAAGCCTCTTCTTTCCTCCCTGCACCAGCAGCGAGGCCGCGCACCTAATGCCTTCGTGTTTCCTTTCTCCCTCAGGGGAGAGGCCACTGAAGCCACTTTCTCCCTGCAGTGATGGGAGAGGCCTGGCTGGCTGCCCTGCTCGCCCCCAGAATCCCGCCGCCCCCAGCCTGTCTGGGTCAGAGCCTTTAGGAGGGCAGGGAGCAGAGATGCCTCTGCTCTCTGCCTCTCCCTGTGGCGCAGCCGTGGTCCTCAGAAGTGGCCGTGAGTGGCAGAGGCGGGAAGCGCCCTCCTCAGCTGCCCTGGGAGCTCTTCAGAGCAGTCCCGCATTGGAGCCTGGCTGATGAGTGTAGAGGAGAGGGGCAGTATATCCTTTCTCCCTCCTCTTCACCAAAAAAAAAAAAAAAAAAAAAAGGCCATGAACTGATGGGACAATCAAGGCTGGACCCCCAGGGAAGCTTCTTTAGTACAGGGGCAGAAGAGATGTTCGTATACCCAGAGCTGAGCCTGGTGGTCTGTTGAGGTGCTAATTTTGAAAGTTCTTTATTCAATTTCTGGAAACACCATAGGTCTGGAAAACTTCTCTGAAATCCTTTAGTTCTGCTGAATCACTTCCTTGAAACGTAAAAAGGGATGGGAAAAGATTTGGTCAGACTTCAGCTGCTAAGGATGTTGAATGATGCCCTTCTGATTATGCTTTATTAATAGGTATCTGCAAGCATAAGATATCAATATGTGTTTTAAAATGAGTTTCTTAACTCTTTTTTTTGCCATTAATTTCTTGTTTTTATGGGAGTATGATGCTTTTGTGTCTTCACCTAGATGAGCTGAACTTTAGCTGTCACTTCTGTGTTATGCTAACTTTTACTCCCAGATCACCTGCAATTCTCTGCTGTTGTTGCGTCTTTCTAAATTATTGGCTCCAGGATTAACTCTGTGACTTATTTACCTAGTTTTACCTAGTTTACCTTATTTACCTAGTCTGCATCATTGCATGTATTCTGCTCTATTTTTGACATTAGTGTGGATTGGTGAGATGCTTATTTTCTTGTCTTGGTACCTTTTCATAGTTAAGACCACATTTTGGTTGTGGCATAACATTTTTTTCCTCCAGTCGTAAATTATATTGCAGACTACACCCTTGTTTACCCAATGACTGTTTCACAACAGCAGCGTGGTCTTGTGACCATGAGGCTTGATCATTCTAGTTCCCTCTTGGCGAGACTCTCTGTGAAGCTTTCTCCTCTGAAGTTGTAGAGAGTGCTGAAGCAGGATGGCATATTCAATTGAGCAACTCTGCAGCTCTTGCCTACCCTGCGTTCCCTAAATTGCAAGCTTGAAAAATGGTACAGATAGGATGTATGCAACTTGCATTGATTTTTTAAATGTTTTTTTACTGTATAATTGGACATGGTTTTGTTCTTGAAATGTGATTGTGTGTTCCATCCTTTTCCTTAAGTTTCATAATTGTGTCCAAGTCTTGTCTGTGACTAAGAGTGATGTTTTTCACCATACATCACTAATGTGGGTGAACCTATTTTATGACTAAAGCATAATGATAGATTAGATCCTTGCCAGGCTTTACTGCAGCACAAAGTGGGCAAGGTCAGTCCTGAACCTTGAACTTGGAAAATTCTGAGTAATGTGGTAGATGTCAGTTCCCTGGAACTGGCAAAGGGGAAATGCCAGGTTTTGCCAAGACCAGCACCGCCAAAACTCCTGTTCAGAGAAGACACAGACAAGCTTTTGTATTGCAGCGCTGTAGACTTGGCAGATTTGGTTTTTCATCTCCTTGGCAGGACTAAACAGCTACGCAGACTTTATCCACCATTTTAAAAATATATTTATTAAAAGAGGGGATGTCGTTTGCCAAATGCTTAACTTCTCCAGGCTGTATTTCAGACATGACAGTATCAGTACAAACGAAGAGGGAAACAGGCTGTAAGGGTTGGGTGTTTTCAGAGAGATGTTTTCCTTGTTTGCCCCATCTCCCACGGTGCTTACACAGAGAGAGGTGGTGTCTCCCCACCTATGGCACAGGAAATCTGAGGCTCCTGGGAGGGCCAGCTGCGGGCCATGCGCGTTTATGTGCGGGTACAGCAGTGCATGCAGCCAGTGGACCCGCAAGGGCTGGAGGTTGATGCGCTTGCACCACCCAGTAAGTCTTGGGTCAACAGGATAATGCTCCGCAGGGCTGGCATGCCAGGAAGTGCTCAGCTTGCTGAGGGTGTGGAGAGTCCTGTCATGGGGCGCCTTTATCGTGGCGGGTGGCCCTCCCTGATACCCAAATGAGATGCTGTCCTTTATCAGCCCCTTCCAGAGGCTGCACAAACCCTAATTCCACTCCCAATCTTCAAATTATCTCAGTTCTTATCTGACAGATCACTACAGTTCATCAGCATCTGCTGACCCAAATGCTGACCCTAAAGCCAGTTCTAATATGAGCCTTTATTCTCTGTCAGCAGCTTGTTCTAGTTCCACATACGAGCAAAGCAACGTGGCCACTGTTTGATAACAGGTTTTAGTCTGTGCTGATATTTGCTGGGCAGAACTGTCTGGCCCAAGCTCTAGCCCTGTCATTTCTTCCAACTTTGAACATGATGGTAGCCACATGGCTGCTCCACTGCCAGCAATTATGCAGAATGGCAGCATTTTGTCAGAAATATCTGCAAACCATGTCACTAACCCCTACTGTGTCCAGAGGCTTTGTTACTTCCTCTGCTAAACATCGTTTATCTAAACTGCAGACCTCTTGGAAGGTACCTAAGGAGTCAGTGGTCTTCCGAATCAAGAGCTCATGTTCCTCTCCCGGCCTGAACCTTTACCAAACCCAGCTCTAGCAGGGAGCTCCCCTGTAGCCAAGTCAGGTTTCCTTGTCCCAGATACAAATACAGGCACGTGCCCCTACCTGGGAGCTCTGTGGCGTCTGGTCCTAGGCCTTACCTATGGAGTTGCTTTTGTGCAGTGCAATAATAGCCTGTTCTGACCCCAAATTAGCTATCATACATTGCTGCTTCACAAACTGCATTGGTAAATAAAGAAATCTCCTTGTTGATCTTTTAATTTGTATGAAAGCTAATATTTTCAGAGCAGCATGTGCAGTATTGCATTATTTCACTGTAAAAAGTGTAAATAAGGCTAGAGGTTTCTAGCAGTGTGATTAGCAGATACTTGAGTTTGTGCTTTGCTCATAACATGTCAGACGTATTAGACTTTAATCATTCTTTAGCTTATGGTCTCTGAAAGATGGAAGTTGCAAGTTTAGGTGACTCATCTTTTCGTAGGTCAAGGATATAACTGACTTTATTCAGCTGGAAGGAATTGTCAATTTACAGGGGCGATACTGGTCTGCTTGTCTTTTGTTTTCAGTACTTTCATAGTAGCAAAGATCAACCATTCGTGGAATGTGTTGATTTACAGAGGAAAAGAAGAATATGTCCTGTTCCCACATAATTATGGGTGGGATGAGATGATCTGCATTTAGATCTACAGGTTTTGGAAGCTCCCTTCTGAGTTTGAGGCCAACTCTGGACATACATTACTATTGTACGTATGGTGTGACCCCATATAAGTGTAATATGGGAACCTGTCAGAGATGAAACCAGAAAATACAGTTAAAAACAAGCCTAGGTATTTATTTGTGAAAGATGGTTGAGGAGTTCGTTTTACTGGAGCTCAAAGGGTCATAATTTTGCTCAGTTCATGGGGTTAAAATTAGAAGGATGTGGTTTTCTGCAAATGCAGTTCTGCTTAAGGCTGAATTGGCTTATCTGAGCCTTCATTTCAGAACAAGTAACCTGTTTCTGCAGTGTACCATGTAACTGCATCAGAAGGTGGCGAAGGATTTGGCATCTTATGAGATGGTAATTAATGTCCCAAATGTTGC